GGAGGGTGGGGGGGGGAAATATTTGTAAAAGCTTTTTAAATTTTCAATAAAAAAAGAATATAGAGGAGAGCCTCAAAATTGCTATAACCAAGGGAAGATGCTACAATGTGATGACAAAAATACATTTATTTTTTAAAAAGTGATTAAATATCAGATTTTATTTATTTATATCTGCCTTTATTATTTTTACAAATAATTCAAGGTGGTGAACATAACCAACACACATCCCTCCTTCTATTTTCCCCACAACAACTCTTCTATGAGTTAGATTAGGCTGAGAGTCAGAGACTGGCTGAAGGTCACCCAGTTGGCTTTCATGGCTAAAGTGTGGCTTTAATTCACAATCTCCAATTTTTTAGTCTGGTGTCCTAACCATTAAGTCAAACTAGCTCATTCCCTCAAATTGTATAAACAAATATTCACAGGCTGTAAAAACAAGTACTATAAATCTACCTGAGAGCTTTTTTTTTTCAATTAAAGATAAAACAAACTGAAAATGAACATATGCAAATGTGGTAGAAGGATGTAAATGAAAAAAAATCTTACCCTATTTGTCATGGTTTGATGCATTCAAGTGCTTGAGCAACTGAACATGCATGAGTTTTGCTTCTTCTGTAGAGATAGTGTGCATGCTTCCCTATCTTCTTCCCTCCCTGCCCTGTCAACAAATATAAATTTATATGTAGAACAAAAAAAAAGACAAATGTTTTATTAGAAATACTTTCAGCTCCCTCTACTGACAATAAAGGGCACAAACTCTGGAAATTTTAGAAAACATTCTTAAATGACATAGGTGCTTCAATATGCAGAAAGACGAGAATCTGAGTTTTTGTCCTTTCACTGGAAAAAGAGGATATGAAGGGAGAAGAAAAAAGACAGAACATGAAAAATAAAGGCCAGAATTCTATATGTTGCTGTAACACTTCTGAAAGTCAGTGTGGTGTACAGATTAAGATGTTGGACTAGAAGTGAGAGATTCAGGTTTAAGATTCTCTTAGTCATTTATGTTCAATGTAATAAAGTTTTCTCAAGCCAGTTTCTTGTCCCAGATCCAAGTCCCGTTTATCTTAATAAATCTTGGTAAATCTTCAAGTTCATTCCCTACTCCCTCTACACAGTTCAACCCTATCTTGAAATGCAAGACTTCCAGGCACTGAGAAAGGACTTTTACGGCATCATCTGGATGGCCTCGGGCAGAGATGCACAGTTTTAGCAGAAGGCTGAGGCTGAATCTCTCCCCACTCCCCAAACACCAACTGGAAGCAACAATGGAAGAAGTCAGTGTCTCCTGCTCCCAGTCCCCTCAGCTGGCCCAGAATCAATTATAAAGCCACTGACAGATCAAGAATGGCCAAGACAGGTACACTCCTCTGAACTGAGCTCAGAGGTGGGTTCCTACCAGTTCGCATCTATTCGGTAGAACCGGTTTGTCAAATCTACCGAACCGGTTAGAAGAGGTTCCACCAGTGGACCCGGAAAGCAGGCCACACCTACAGAAGAGGTTCCAAAATTTTTTGAAACCCACCACTGGTCCTTGGATATGATTATTCTACACTATCATGCTCATATTTATAAAACTCAGTGCCTCCGTGAAAGGTAAGGATGACTACTGCGTTTGTGGTGCAATCAGAACATTGCGTGTGTTGAAGTTGTTTTAACGCAAACCAAAGATGCCTTTTAAAAAACAAGTTGACATCATATTCTTATGCATGCCAGTGCTGTGTGTGAGGTAATTTAAGGTGGTTCTGACAAGTGTCATTGGCATCTTCATATCCGGTCACATGGGCGGCAAGCCACTCCCACAAAGGAGGCCACACCCACAGAGTAGGTTCGAACAATTTTTGAAACCCACCACTGACTGAGCTCTTCGGAGGTCATCCAAAAGTGTGATTAATGCTGTCTCTGTGCTATATCCCAGCCTGAATTCTGACTGCTATGGGTCCAGATAATATACTTACTACAGAGTCATTTGAAGTTGTAGGCCTACCACCTTCTCACCTACTTCCCCTAAAGACAGGGGGAACCACTCCATCCTAAAAGGGGACATTTACTACCTCTTGACATAACTAAATATCACCGAGAGGCCCTAAGCTGCCAGGATGGAGATGAATTCAACTTTCAAGTAGTAGGATTCAATGTCCCACAGACTCAATAACCAAATCAGACATAGCCCAGATAACCAGACAAAGCTATACACTTCAATGAAGAAAAGCTTTTATCCTGCCATAGCATGGACTAATTCAGGCTTATAATAATGTATAATAATGTGAGGCTATTACTATAGAACCGTTCTGCTTCTTAAACTGACATATGTAGGAAATCGAAACGTTGCTGTTTTTAATTTATATTCTACAAAGTTTTTCCATCAATGAGAAAGAGAGAAAAGCCATAAATATTTTTGAATAGTAATAAAAGGAAACGTCTGCGTGAAAACCCTTCCAATCTTATTTAAAGTGCTGTAATTAATTAATGGGTATGGCTCTATATTGTTGAAAGCGGATTGGGTTTTTAGTATTTATTATACTGAAATAAATGATTGACATAAACCCCATGTACATTGCCTCAGAAGTGAGTTTCTGTTAATTTAATGGCACTTATTCTAGGAATTTTTGAATGCTAATGTTAATTTTTGAATAGACTACTGCTTGAGGTTGACCACAGTAACCACATATGCATAGTTTCAAATAGTTGTGTTCCTACAGCATACAAAGAAATAAACCAAGGGGCAGTAACCTTTTTGGGGACTAAGGCACATACTTAAAATAAATGATTGGCCTCCAAAGTCATGACACTGATTTAATTAAAATTATTAATCATTTTTTGTTCATTGCTGTGGGGAGAGTTACCAAATTAAAATGTTTTAAGCCTGCACTAAGCTCAGTTCTCTATTTTAGGCCTATGTAAATGAAAGTGAAGAAAATCATGTTGCCAAAGTCTAATTTTCAGCAGTGGAATTTGGGAGATCTGGAGATGTAAAAATAGAATTGGACTCCAGGTTACTGATTACTGTCATAGGCCATAGTTTTACAAACCACTGTGGGAAGTTATCATCCAGCCCTCTCCCAGAAAAATTAGATTTCCTAGGAAATATTGAAAAGGCAGAATATTTCTCTG